AACGTACGATCTGCCTATCTTGGACAGGCAGATCGCACTCTCGATCATCGCAAGCCCGCCCCCCTGAGGGGCGGGCTTCCGATGACCGCAATGCTGAACGGGCAGTGTGCGCGTGCGCACACCGGCCCGTTCAGCATTTATCTTCCGAGCACCGTTCTAACCAGCCGAGAATCGTACGATTCCCGGCTGGTTTTCGAACATGCTGGTTCGACAGAAGACGTGCGACCGTACAGTAGAAACGGTCGCACGTCTCCGTTCACACTGCTCGATTATCGTACGAAAAACCGATCGCATACGATTATCGTACGATAATCGTGCAGTGTATGGGCACCTTTATACTCATCCAAACCACAATACCGGCTTGCTCTGAGACCAGTCCCTTCAGCGGTCAAAGGTCCTGTGAGTCATCACATTCTTTACAGTGTATAGGATGTGAGGACACTGAGGGACATACCATTGCCGGAGCGAGCAGTGTAAGAGCAAGCCGGGATCGCAGTTCGGGTGGCTATAACCTTGTTATTTTTGCTCCCTAGACAAAATGAGCACTTAACCCTTGCAGTGCATGGGTAGCCCCACTGCAAGGGATAAGATTTGATTTGACTTGAGTTCTGCTTTCAGTTATTAAAGATGCAAATTTTCTGGAATTCTTTGTCAGGTTTTAGCCCTTTGTCATACTTCATACATGTATAATGCCTGAAGAAGGGATCTAATAAATCCCAAAAGCTTGCATTTGTAACCCTTTCTCATGGGCTTATAAACACATTCTCTGCTGTTATAGCAGCCAGGATTGTGTTCATATTCAACAAGCTTCTGGTAGAAGTGATTTAACTTGGCTTTATGGTCTCCTGATCACTTCTACACCCCCCAAAGGTGTCACCCCCTCCACCCGACTCCTCTATGTATCCTGGGCTCCTCTGCCCCTCCTGCAGGCTTGGGACTGGCATGGCGAATGACAAGAACAAGATCAGTGGACATTGGTTCACTGCAAAAATGGCTCTTACAGCAAAAGGGATAGTAACCTAAGTTGGCCAATAAAGGGTATGGCTTCAACTCCAAACTTTCTGCACTCAATGATGGCTAACATGGTGCAATACTCTACCACTGCTAGGACATGCAGTAGTGAAAACTCTTTGCTTCCTGCTCCACCCATCTTTGCCATTGACTGTCACGCCTACTCCTCCATGTTAGGCTGCAAGACTTTTGTCTTGCGATGGTTGTAAGGTACTTAAAAAAAGTACGATCTTCCTATCTTGTACAGGCAGATCGTACTTGCGATGATCGCAAGCCACGCCCCCCTGAGGGGCGGGCTTCCGATGACCGCAGTGCCGAACGGGCAGTGTGCGCTTGCGCACACCGGCCTGTCCGGCTTTTGTCGTACGAACATGCTACACACCCGCCAAACATCGTACGATGCTCGGCGGGTTTTCGAACATGTTCGTAAGTTAAAAGTCGTGCAACCTTACAGTAGTGGAGGTTGCACGGCTTCCACACACCTTACGATAATCGTACGATTGCGGGATTTCCCGCGATTATCGTACGATTATCGTAAGGTGTGTGGGCACCCTTACTCATTGTAGCTATACTTTTCCTTAATTTTTTTTGGGTCACTATAAATGTGTAGATATCTCTTGTTCCACCCGCAAAGGCTGAATGAGAGAAATCACTTGATTCCCCCATCCACGCCAAACAATGTGGATAAGGGGATCTGCATTGCCGGCTATCTTATTCAGGCAGCCACTGACCACTGCGGCTTCCTGATTACCCAATCCATGACTACATCTGATCAGATGCAGTGACTTTTCCGATGACAGAATTCTCCCGGCTCCTTCGATTTTTAAATTGACTTTGCGGGACTGAGTGGTGCCGACAGGGCCATCTAGGGCTTGAATTTTGGCCGAATTAGCATCAATTGGATGAAATTTGAGCCGTGTATGAGTCAGTAGCAAATTGTTTATCCAGTTTGGTTACAGCTGAGATAAGGCGCGTGTTATCTGTATCCACTTCCAGAAAGCCTCACTATCTGTAACATCTGCACTGCTTTTTATCTTGTGCTAAGGCTGACATTCTAGTCATCTTCCTCATGCATCTACCCGACTCAATGTGTGATAAGTGAACGAGACTGGGTGTCCCTACTTCCATATGGGGAACATTTCTGAAAGCAGTGACTTCATTCATACTTTCCTTACAAGAACAATGAAGCACTATGTGCCTACACTGAACAATGTCACTGGCTTGTTAGATTCGGAATACAGTAATATTTTCTTTAAAGAAGAGATTAGAAGACCGGGATGCAAATTGGAGCTGATGCTGCTCAACGTCCTGAGGCCTAAAGAAGTCATTTTTACTCTCCAGAAGAGAATGACACCATTTTTCTTGTTTATTCAGCAGAAATCGATGGTTCATGGTACATGTATTTGACAATGATAATATAGAAAAGATCTGATTTCTGTTTACGTGACAATTCATTATGGTGGTGGGGCTTCCACATTACCGGCTTAAAAAAAAATGTACAATATGGGCAAGGCAGCTGGAGTAACAAAATGCTAAAGTGGACAGGAACCACACCTGGGCCTATAGTAGGAAGTTGTCACTTATAGGGGTTTCCAAGAGGTACAACAATCCAGAAGCTTCCATTTAATTCTGACATACAGCTTTTGGGTGGTCTAATCTATTAAGGTGAATTCTGGGATAAGCAAATATTCTTCAGATCTGTGCAAGAATCCAAACTGTGGATGTGTGCAGGAGCTTCCTGTAATAAAGACCGGTCACTGTTGCACTCTTTCCTTATGCTGGGGGAGTGGTCTTGTCTCCCCCTCCTTTGTGTAGTTTTCAGCTGGACAGCCTGTAGTGGGCAGACCCCTCTACAACTCTGGCAACTTATGTATTTTCTCAGCAGCAGTTCCCATTAAAGTATATCTTTAGGTATAACCTTTTTAGTTTTGGATAGACTGGGCAGGGGTTAGATCCTCTGTAAAGTTCTTAGTTCTGCCTGGGTCCCCACTGTGGGGATTCATAACAGTATTTGTGAAAGTGGCCAATATCACTGAATCAGAAACTGAGAGACAATCTAACACGTTGGAGTTGTCCGCAGGTCAAAAAAAGTTTCCTTCAGTCTGCGTCTAGGGACAATCACCTATGCTGCACATGCGCTGGTTCCCATGTACAATTACATGCAGACTACCGCTGACAGATGCAGCCGCTATCAGCCTGTCATTCACTTGAACGGGCACAGCCGAATCTGTACATACACACCTGGGATTCCTGCTGTAGAAATCTATAGGTTCTTGTGGCAGGAATCCCTATCCACAGCCTAAGCGCATTTTACATGGGCGCCTCCGTAACGTCTACGCAGAAGATCCATAGACGGATCCCCTGATGAGTTGGATCAGAACAGAAATGGATGTCACGTGTGACATCCATGTCCGTTCCGTTTCCTCCTCCATCTTGTGATGAAGGAAAAACAGACCCACATAATCCCTGTGGGTGGCTGGATGTAAAAAGGACATGCGTATGCATATATCCACCTCGATCTGGTCAAGGCCTGCAAAAGTGGACCTGGCGGCAGATTTAGGCTACATTCACACTTGTGTTTTTGTCCTCTACATGCAGAGGAATATCTGTCAGGCTAGATGCTGTGTTTGTGCTTCTAGATGTGTTAAATGTCACATGATTACGTGCGTTTACATGCATCTGGTACCAAATCCTAGCATCAAATCGCGTTTAAAAGTTATAATTGATACCTAGATGCACCTGACTTCTATGATTTGAAAAATGATAGAAATGCATCGAATCGCACATAGTGTGAATGTAGTCTTATTGTTTTCGGTCCGACAAACCTGAACGGACTCAGATTTAAAGAACCACATCAAGCCAGCCCATACTACTGGAATATCCAGTAAAGTATCTATTCTAAAAAAGACTAATGTAATCCCTATGAATGGCCTCATGTAAAACATACGTGTGTCTGCATATATGTGCCCACATCCATTTGGGTTTGCCAAAGTGGACCTGGACGCAAACTCATTGCAGTGGCTCTGAGAAACCTAAATTAACTTGCATGTAAACGGATGCAAACAGGCGCATACCCGCTTACATCAGGTCACCCATAGGCCTTTTTCACTATGTTCCATCAGCAGACGGACTACCCACGATCTGGCCTAGCGAAACAGAACTCTGTTTCGTTTGATTTTTTAGACCTTACCAGAGTTGGGGGTAACCGTGTGTAAACAGAACCCCGTCCGTTTGGACCTGGTTTTCCATAGACAAGCATTGGGTATCCAATCGGGTCCGTCTGAAAGACTGACAGGCAAACCCGATTGGGCCGCCTGTGTGAAAGGGGCCTATGTCTGGCCACATCCAGCTGGGTTTGCCAAAGTGGGCCACCCATAGGGATTCACTGCAGTCCTTTTACCTGCGTCTGATCTTGGGCCATACAACAAAGTGACGGAACACCACGGGTTCCAATGCCTGTGTGTAAGGGGTCCAACGCCCATGTGTTAGGGGTCCAACGCCCATGTGTTAGGGGTCCAACGCCCCTGTGGAAGGGGTCCAACGCCCGTGTGGAAGGGGTCCAACACTTGTGTGGAAGGTTTTTTTTTTTTAGCTCTGCAGGCTCCCCCATCGTTTTCTTTCCATTAGCCCCTCCATCCATTGCCTTCAGGTCCGTTTGTACCTCTCCTCAGACTTTGATGTGAAGTCAGTTTACCTTTCTCTCCAGTCACACATATAATTCAATTATCAGCTCTGCAGAAACAAAGCATTTGGGAATAATGACATTAAGCCGGCGCCTGTGGGGAGTTTTTCGGGTCTTTAAGATGCAAACTGAGAGAGAAGCAGCAGCAACAGCAGCACTGTGTGTAAGTAATGAAGTCCACATCCCTGAGAGGAGGAGGATGTGTCCATTGAGCAGGAGGCGGCCTGCCCCCGCCTCTCCCCGGGTGGGGAACACCCTGCAGCTCATTTAGGAGGGGCTTTTACTTCATTGGAGTAGTTTTTTTTTGGTTGGTGCTTGAAAGTAAAGCTTGCATCCAAGCCTGGTCCCTCTTCACATGCTCCTATAAGCCAGTAGCCATGAAGTGCCCAATGAAGACGTGTGCCTTGCTGTCAGCCTGCCTGGCCCTTCTTTTCAACCCGCTCCATGGATTTAACTTAGCGGTGGACGAGCCCGCGGTGTACACGGGTCCCGAGGGCAGCTTGTTCGGCTTCTCGGTGGATTTTTACCTCCCGGATGAGCAGAGGTGAGTGCAGGGACGGGGAGCAGCGGAGGAGACATCGGGGAAGTCAGTCATGGTTACATTGTATCACTTGTCACATCCTACTGAGCGCTGTGAATGGGGGTGATGAGGGAGCCGGGTCACCATGTACTGTTCAATCATATTGCTGGGTTAGGGGCTGACTTGGATTTTTTTGTTCTTGGGTTGCTCATTTGGCCGGATTGGAGCTCCTCCCGCCCTCAGTGTGTTCCGTTACATACACACTCCCTTCCAGATCCTCATTTCCCTCCAGTGTCTCACCCCAAATTTCACTTTTTTCTTTTCCTCGCTTCCTCCCATGGAGTGCAGACATGCCCTCTACCTTTCCCCAGCCCCCCCTTCCCTCATACATTCACACTGTTGTATGGCTCGGCCCCCCTCACATTACAGCTTTTGTCTGGATCCTGTTCACCCATCTGGTTGATATTACCTGGTGATGACCCAAGTGCTGCTTTCTTCTGGAATTAGGTACATACTACAGCTGCAACCTTTATTACCTTGTCTGACTCTGGGAGGACCATGGCTGCGGCTTTTTGTCTGTGTTTAGTCCTGCCATGACTTATTACCTCTGCTGGAAGTCTCTTCCCAGCCTCCACTACTCTTTCAGTGAAATGTATATATAATCTCAAAACCGGAGCAGACAGACTCAGGAGTGCACACCCAGGGCAACCAATCGGCTTCTCTCTTGGGTTTAAGTGGTTTTGAAAATGAGAAGCTGATTGGTTGCCACGCTGCTCCAGTTTTGATAAATTGGCCTCAATGGATTTAAAAATGTTCCCTTCCTTTCTCAAGGCTGCACAGAAGTCCCTCCTGTCTCTCCTGATCTATCTTAAGTCTCAAATGTCTTTATTACAGGTATTTATATAGCGCCAGCAATGTACAGAGCGCTCCACTTCCCTTACATCAGTCACTGCCCTCAAGGTGCTTTACAGTCTAAGGTCCCTGACTCGCATACATAGACAAGAGCCCGTTCACCTACCAGCATGTCTTTGGAGTGTGTCAGGAAACCCACACAAGCACAGGAAGAACATGCAAACTCCATGCAGATAGTGTCCTGAATGGAATTTGAACTGCGGACCTCTAGTGCTGCAAGGCAGACGTGCTAACCAGTAAATCTTAACATACACTAAGCCTTTTCCGTATGAGAAGAAACGCTTGATTCCATCCACCATCCACACTATATATCCACCCCATCTGGCTGTTGTATTCTGGTGGGGGTGCGGCAGTCAGAATACCTGAACATTGACTGCAGGCGATTGACTGCAGTCAATGTTTTTGGCCGGCTCCTACTTCGAAAAAAGTCTATTGTAAGATTGACTGACTTTTGTCCAATCGAGGGGTGCTGACAGGGCCACACGCTGCTAGAAATGCATCCGAGTCCTGCTTTCTTGGAAGTCTAGCAGTATATGGCCAGCTTAAGCCACAGTAATGAGCTAATAACAATCATACATGTACGTGTGTGTGTAATAGAATAAAGTGTATATATACATACGGGGGAACCGCAATATCATTGCGGTTAAAAAAACCAAATGGGTCTTGCACACTTCTATAACTGCACTGCACGGTATTGTGGCACTGCAGGTTCGGGTGGAAGGTGCCTTTGGGGTGCCATTCAAATGAATGGCAACACAACGCACCTCCTGCACTGTTAACGCACAGTAGGTTTGTTGCATGGTAGTATGTTTGTCGCATGGAACCATGAGACTAACGTATGCATGTAGTGTGAAGAAGCCCTCAACCATGTTGGTGATAACAGGCATTCATGTGGCTATCTTCTGTGGGATTTCTGGACAGGAAGTACCGTGTGTGCGGGAACTTCTGTTCCCTCCATAGTGTGTGTGTGTGTGTGTGTGTGTGTGTGTTTCTGTGTTTGCCTATTTAAATATCCATCTAATAGGTTACTGTTTTGGAAGTTTCTGTGTTTGCCTATTTAAATATCCATCTAATAGGTTACTGTTTTGGAAGTTTGGGATAGAGCAGGAAATGGTTAAAACCCTTGGTGTCCCGCCAGGGAGATTTACCTTCGTTCTTAGGAAACACACAACATGACGGGAGGGGAAATATTTCCTAAGTGAGATGAAATCCCTCTTATGGGTAGTTGTTACTGGAACAGTTGTCCCTTTTGGAAGACATACCATCACTCCCTGTTCTGGTAACCGCTGTAAAGTTGTGGGGTTTTTCCTTTTTATGTTAATGACTCTGACCACCAGGACCAATAGTGAGGAAATCTTCCCAGTGGGGACGCACAGACTATCCAAAGCTGGAAGAAAAGTTTGGCTTTAGGTACTTTTATAATAAGTGACTTGCAATAGAATCCTGAAACTTTTCTATAGTTGCCCAATTTTTCCTTTAGCTTTGCAGTCACTGTCCCTGTGAGCCTGTCTGGCGTTCTGTAGGATGTGTGAGGTTTTAGTGTGGATTTTCCATTTAGATGGGAAGCTCAGGAGTGACATGTCACCATTGTGCAGGGTAAGGGTTAATGTGCGGTATTCTGGCTTCCTCCTGTTTTCAGTGCAGACAGACAGCTCTCCATCTACAGCAGGACCTGGCAGTAACCAGGCTGGCGTGCTGTGCCCTGAATCAGCTGGAGCCGGGTCCTCCTTTGTGTAAGATCAAGACCTCTGAGCTTGGAGTACATTTCTTTACAGCTCAGAGCTCACATGAGGAAAGTGAGTAATAATGTTTAACAGGACGCAGTTTCCTGAAACCGGACACGCCACAACAGTCAGGATTGTGTCCAGCCTCTGAATGGCACCCTGAGGAATCCACAGGCAGAACTCTTCACTGGGATATACAGGCGATCCACTCTTTACAGTGTGACGAAAGTACTGCCAGCCTTTATTTAGTCACATTGGGCCGTGTTTTATATATTTTGGCGTGTCTGTTCTACAAAATATTTGTATAACCGTTGTCAATTCACCAGCAACAAAGGTTTAAAGTGCATCTATAGTCAAACATGGAAGCTAAGTTCTAATATGATGAAAAACCTTTGTTTCTAATGGGCCTGAAAATCTGAAACTTTTGTCTAATTATGGTACTTGATAATTGCTCCAGTACCCCATTAAGGCACTGGTCACACGGTTTTGTGATCTTGGAGGACAGATGTCAGGAGACTGTGGACAGACGTGAGCAGTCAGCATTACTGCTGGAGAAGTCTCCTGACCTCAGTCTTTCAGGATCCTCGATGGCATCAGAGGTGGTTCCATGTTTGCTAAAAGACCTGGAAATCTTCCTGATTTCTAATTAGGACACTTGATGATTGCTCCAGTGCCCCACCAAGGCCCTGGTCACATGGTTTTTATCAAGGATCTTGGAGGACAGATGTCAGGAGACTGTGGACAGAAGTGAGCAGTCAGCACTACTGCTCAAGAAGTCTCCTGACCTCAGTCTTTCCGGATCCTCGATGGCATCAGAGGTGGTTTCGTGTTTACTTTAAAGGTCTGAAAATCTTAACCTTATTCCTAATTGGGAGACTTGATGATTGCTCCAGTGCCCCACCAAGGCCCTGGTCACATGGTTTCTACCAAGGATCTTGGAGGACAGATGTCAATAGACTGTGTACAGAAGTGAGTGGTATGCACTGCTGCTTGAAAAGTCTCCTGACTTTAGCCTTTCAGGATCCTCAATGGGGCTTCAAAGGTCGTTCCATGTTTGAATGTGGGTAGAAACATGCATTGGCTTCATTTGTTCCCCCCAGGACTCTAGTGGCTAGGTTTCTGCATCTGAGGTGGTAGGTCTCCTTAGTCACTGCTGAGGCAGGAGGATCTGGATCTCCTTGAATCCTTCATTTGTTTTTTACATTGCACAACATGCAGGAAGAGAAGTGAGACCCCTGGGCAAGGAGCAGACATTGGAGCTTTGGTAGGGTATGTCCATTGCTGATGTCTGTGAGGGATCTAGGAAGGCTATGGGGAATCCCATCCTTTATTCTACACCCATAACTGATTCAGCTTTTGGGTGGATGATTAATTCATAACACTTACTTAAACCTGAAACCACTATATTTTAATACTGAATAGTGATGTTTATTGTTTCCTTGGATATCAATGAAGCAAATATTCATTTATTACTCATCAGTTTGAAAGTTCAACAAGTCACTGATTTGGATCAAGCATTAAGGTTCATGCAGAAACCTGCGTAGAGATAAAATGGAAGTGTTCTCTCAGCCTCAGGTAACCTGCACATGGAATAATAGAAGGGATTTGATTGGCTTACATTCCTCATGTTGTTCTTATGTCAACAAAGTATCATTAGGTTTCCAGGTACTCAATGTACACAGTTCAACTTATATGATATGCATGTACATCTTTCCTCTCCTGTCAATGGGGATCATTAAACTCTGTGTCATCCTGGTGACATGACCGGGTTGAGTAGACTAGAGTGAGTCATTACTTTTTAATAAAATGAGTCAAAGTATACTTCTTAAATTGTCGTGTGACTCAATGTATACATTACTTCTAAAAATGGGTATGTGCTTTCTCTGCAATGTTATCTCTGTAGGTTTATGCTGCTTAGACCTACTCTATGCGCAGTCTGTTCCATGGTGTCTCATTGCTACAGTTTATGACCTCAACGTGCATTGCAGTGTTTGATCACCTGTTGCAGACCTGCCTCACTACGTGGGATTAGATCAGGGGTAGCCAAACTCCGGCCCTCCAGCTGTGGTGAACTACAAATCCCATGATACATCTCTCTCCAGGAGTCATGTCTAGCTGGGAGAACCTTGCAATGCCTCATGAGATTTGTAGTTCCACCACAGCTGGAGGGCCGGAGTTTGGCTACCCGGGATTAGATCCTCAATCTGTTTGCTTTTTTAGCTGAGGTAGCAGCATCTTGTGATGGACAACTGCACTATTTTCTTTTCTTCAGGACAAAGCAGTACACAGTCTATCCCAGCTTTGAACTCTACGGGAAGGCAAAATAATGATCACTTCGGAAGTCAAAAGCACTCCTCACCACCTAAGGTTTCCAGTCAACCTGTTCCC